CTAATAAAGAAGCTGAGCTGATTTCCGGACTCTCTCGTGTGATTCTTGGGCTGAACCTGACACTTGCTGTTTTTTGGCCTATGCCAGTTTTGGATCAGAAGACAATTATTTGGTTTTGTAGATCAGCCTGAGATCTGCAATTTGCAGTCTGAATGTATCTGGAGGTGCCAGATTGGATTAATGTCAATTAACGTCTCAGATTACCAGTAATTGTGAACAGGAGCTTGCAGGTAATAATAATGCTAAAGCAGATTTATTGGCAGAAAGATACTTACTTCTGTATTTCTTTAGTTGTACAGTCTTTCCTGAAGGTTTATGCTAATTAACAACAACAACAACAACAAAAAAGCCCAGGAAGTTAAGCTGATTTTGTCAAATTATTTTCTTTGCTAGCTTCACCCTTAGTTATTATACCTGCTTGCCCACATGGGCTAAATCTCATTAAACTCCCTTCTTAAGTATGCTGACTCCGGTCATTTTGCATATTGTTTTTTTTTAATATCGTTTGCCATATTTGGGACATCAGACATCACTGATCTTTGTTTCCAATCAGGAGTCAGGAGACATGCTTGGACAAGCGACCTCAGAGTCAGTCATTTAGTATTGCAGTAAACAACTAAGAAACGTAATTTTGTTACACACCATCAGTATCATTACTTTAAAAAAAAAACAGTACAGAGTGTTATTTCAGACCAAGTAAAATTGTCTGTTCACACAAACCACTTTTTAAAAAAAATTCTAATGATGACTGAATTTTATCAGAATTTTTTTTTTCTGCACATCATACAAGCCTTACCCATGATCATCTTTTTAAAAACTATGTTAAAGTTGATATGCCACTTACGCACATTCTATATGTAATTGTTTGGAACGTCTGTTTTGTGTCTAAAAGTGGAGTGCAACCATTAACCAGCAGAAAGAGAATCATAATTAGATTTATTTATTATTAACATGTGGGTATGTTGTTCTGTATTACAAGGAACGCTAATGTAGTTCCCTCTCTTGAAACTTTCCCTTTATTACAGATTCGTTCTGTCAGTAGCAGAAACTCAGTTTTTCATTTATGAAATGAAAGTCATTGAGCCGTCCTCAGCTGGGCCCTTCTACATGTGTTAGACATCAATTTTCAGATTTCCCAGTCACTGTATCTAAAGGCCAAATGGTTATCAAGTATGGGAATAAAATCCAACACGTCTGGAGGACACCGCCTTGGAAAGGTAGGCCTACCTTCTTGAAATGTCCTGAAATAATGACAGACTATAGATTCTTTTTTGTATGTCTGAATGGAAAAACACAACAGTCTTTCAACATTTGGTCACTATGGAAATGAGTACTTTAAATTAATACCCTCACCCTAAAAGGAATGACATGGGGTGACACATTCCTTAATTATATGTTTTTGTCCATATACATGGACACCATAACACTTTCATATGTTCAGTGAGCTGCCTCTCCATTTGTTTTATTCAATGCATGCAAACCTATAGTATTCACATACAGTTGCCACACTGACCTTTATTCATTCATTCTTTCATTCATTCACAGACATGCATACACAGAGCAGCTACCTTCAGTACCATTGTTTCTACATTTTACCTTGACTATAGTAAAAATGGGGCAGGGATGGTTATGCCTGGCAAGCAATTAACATCCTTTGTTTCTCTACAAATAGGATATATTGCTACTGTTTTCTTCCCATGGACTAAAGGAAGAATCTTAGTGATTTGCAAAATAGATTGAGATATTCAAAGAATTTCTGGCATAGAATGTCAATGCTATTTGAGTGATTTTTGCTCATGTGTGTATGTCAATGTGCCAGTGGTACAATAGGTAAGGAAAGGTATGCAAAATTCATGTTACTTATGTAAGAGAAATGCACAAATTGTTACTTGGTATATTAAAAAGGAATATTGGCATAAAAAGAGGAAATGCAAGTCATGGGGACCAGGGAATATAAGAGAACCATTCTTCACTCAAAACTTCTCTCATACAAGAAATAGAACATAAGGAATTTTGTGACAAAGTTAAAATGATTTTTTATTATTAAAACTGGCAATATGCCCAAGTTGACAAGTTTATTCTTCCTGAAAATTATATGTTCCAATATTGTCTTGGAAAAGTCAAGATACATGCGTTTAAATTACCTGTATAGTAACTGCATAGCATGCATGTGGTCATTTCAACTGTGCAATCCATTACTGGTAGTATGACCTAACACAGAAACCATGGTAAATATCCCTGTGAGTGCAAAAGCACAACTACACATTCAGATTTACTTGTAGACCTCTTCTCAACAGCATCTCACCTCCTCAACAGAGCGCATGTATAGATAGCTAACTGGGGGATGGGAAGTCTCCTGGATAGACTATTAAAACAAAGTTGGGCTCTGTGACATAAACTGAATATCCATGCACCAGCCTGGGGCTTTATTTGTGCACCAAGAGAAGAGCTTTATATAGAAGTGTTGTCTGAGCAGGGAACCAAGCTGTCTGGATTGCTGTGTGGATTTCTCTTTCATATTGGGAAGGAGTGTATTCTAAGCATTTGATGACTACCAAATTTACCACTGATAATACGGCTAATGATTTGCAAAATTGGCAAGCAATAGCTTTACAGTATTGTGCCACTCAAATCCTGCTATGTTGGTTTATTGTGGTGGGGAGGGATGAGTGAAGAATGTCGGGCATGTACTGCAAGAGTATATACTCCCAGTGGGATCAGCAAACTGCCTCTTATTATGCAGCAATGATATAGGAAGATGTTGGAAATGGATGATCACTTTAGTGACAATGGCAAAGGCATCCATTAATGCTGCATGGGAGAAGGCAATGATAAGACACGCCTGTATTTTACCAAGAAAACCACATAGATAGTCAATGTAAAGTTACTGACATTTATGGGTTCCTCAAATTGGATGGCACTGAACATGCTACTGAAGGGAGAGCAGAGGCTTTGTGGAGTACTAATGTTGTTTATGATATAACTAGATTAAAGCCATCAGGACATCTAGCTGCTAATGTTACCATGCAAGAAAACAAAATCTGAAGCCATGATGAGTTGAGAACATGGAAAGCTCAGCCTTCATCCAGTCTCCAGCCAGGGGGCCCTGGATGAAGCTGATTATCTGAACCCTTTTCAGTTAAGGTTCGGGCCAGGTTATAGCAATGCGATGGCATTGGTTGCACTTGTATATGACCTCTGAAAGGTTCAGGATAAGGATGGCACATCCCTCCTGGCCCTCCAGGAACTCTCAGTGGCTTCCAATACCACTGACCATGGTATCCTTCTAGAGGGCTTCAGGGACTAGGGTGAAGGACACTGTTTTGCAGTGGTTCTCCTCTATGGCCAGTTTCAGTCAATGTTGTGGTGTCAGGCCCAGCCCAAGAACAATGATGAAACAGTCCAGTCATGTACAGATCCTTTACTTGCTTACACCTTATAGACAGACTCTCACCAAACTAAATCTACACTACAGCAACTAGTGGATATACCCTGGGAGATTCTAGGGAGTGGCTTTCCTGAATCTCTTTCTCTTCTCATGCTCCCCTTGTGGACTGTGTTGCCTCTTGCCTCCTCCTCCCTCCTGGAATGCACCCCCCCCCTTCCTGATAGCCTTGATCTCCCACATCACTCTCTTCCTCATAGATACATTCCCTCACA